GATGAAAATCTTTTAACTACCAAAAAAAAATTTCAAATCTTAAGGTTTTCTATTAGAGATCTCATTAACTTTGGCTGATAGAAAAATCCAAGTAATTAAAGTACCAGCAAGGATAGTAAGCAGATGCCTAAGCACCACACTTGGCACAGTATAACATTCAGCACTGTCCAACACTGTCATACATTAGTCAAATATTTACCATATTCCTCTTTTATTTTATTTCAGTATCTCTCTGCCACAACCAGTTCTGGCAAAGGAGCTCAGAGCAGCGTATCTGGACTGCACCTCCAAAACCCTACATTCTGGAAGGCTTAAAAGCACCAGACACAGCACTACAGATACAGCAAAGTGATTGCGAAATAATCACAAACCATCCTGCCAGCACCTAAGGGCCAGCTATGATGTATCCATCTTTATTATCATGTAAACAGTATTTTTTCCTACATACCAGAGATTCAATGATTTCATTAATGGTTGGATCAATTCCTTTAGAAAGGGACATAATCTTCAGAAGCTCATAACACATCATCAGACACTTCAACAGCGTTTCAGGATCATTCTTCAAGTGGGTCAGGGAAAAGAGAAAACAATTATTAATACAAGTGGTGGCTGTGATAAGGAGAATGAGGACATTAATCATAATTTTTCCCTACCTAAATAAACATTTCCTGTCTACTACACATTTGTTCTTCAAGAATATTAATCAAAATCTGTCTATGATGAAAAGAGATTCAGGTTTATGTTTTCAGTTAGTTAGGAGTAAAACCAGTAAAAACAAGACCCTTTTAGAATTCTTTAGTTACTCAAGGACAAGAGAGCAGTTTAACTGCAAATCATTTTTTGCTACAGCATACCATTAGCTTCTATACATGCAGAAGGAGAATACTAATACCATAAATGTTAAATTTTAATTTTAAAAATTTAGATAATACAAGGCCAAACTACACTTTCTTTTAAAACTATGAATAAATGTCAAAACATAACCAGCACTTGGGAACACAGGAAGGGAAGAGACCTTCTCCACACGCATTTCTTTAATTTCAGGTTGCTCTGCTTCTTTTATCAGATCATTTTTTCTGTGTTCCAACTCAGTTATTTCCTCTTTTAATGCTGATGCTCTATTAAAATCCTGCAGACTAATGCATTCTTCCAAAGCTTCTTTTGCTTCAAAAAGTTTCACTTTTATTTCAGCCAACTGAAATACAAAGTAAAAAGAAAATTAATGTAATATCATAACCTTTGTGGTATTAGCCAACAATACAGTATTGACAGTAGCCAATAACACACTATCATATAAAACTTTTATTAGATGGATACGCTAAAAAAATACTTTTCTTGTTAACTAAAATCTGCTTACCTTCAGCTCACGCTTTCTTATTTCACCAACATCAACAGGCTGGTCGACTGTAACAAGCGGCTCACGAACTTCTGATATAATTTCTGCAATCTATTGTTACAAACAGTATATTAGTCACATTAATTTCAGCTCAGATGTCAGATACTAATAATTTAACTTCTCCAAATTTAAAAAAAATCCTTCTGAAAAAGTACTGAACATCTGTGCAGTTTCCTTTAACAGCTAATTCACTGCAAATAAATCCTTAGTTTACCAATACATAGTCAAACCACAAAAGTCTAGTGTTTTCTACCATTTAGCTAAGTAAGCAAGAAAATAGAAGACTGTATATCCATGATGTTTCTATGCCAACAGCGCACAGGCACCGTCTCCTCTAGATCTGAACATGTGCTTTAAAAAGAATTACTGCTAATGAGAGTAAGGTTTTTCATCTGTTACTATTTCAATCAAAACACAACTAAGAACATGATCGTTTAAAGGTCTATAAACCACCATACGTAGTATAAGAAGCCATGTAAGTAATTTAATTTCAAGTAAAATACATGCATAGAACTAGAAGCAGAACTAGGCTGAGTCTCTTTCATTCGGTTAGGGGTTTTCTTTGAAGCCAGATCCATTACGTTAATTTAAAAAAAAAAAAAAAGAGATGAAACACAAGGAAAACTAAAGACTGAATGAGACAGGATAGTCTTCATTTGATCTATCTTGTAACAGATCACCTCAGTTGAACTGTAACTTCCTCTCAAGCTGTACCAAATCAACAGAATGTATTGAAGCAGTGTATTTCACTAGAATAACAGAAATGTACACATTTACTATTATTATTGTACTAGAATGCTAAGATTACCATAGTTCTTCCATTGTAATCATGTAACAAACCTATATCCTAGCTTTGCCTGCTGGATTGAGGTTTTCCAAAAGCAGTCTCTCCTTAGTTCCAGGGTTCATTTGAAATATTTGAGCAAAACCAAGGGTCTATTTTTCAGGAGTTAAGTTTAAATACTTACACTGTATATAAAGGCATTACTATATAAAGTTTTTTCTTATAAGTATTTTTAGTACCTATCCCGGCTAAAAGGAGGGAAGAGAAATTTGAAACCTGGAAGTGTACACTATCCTCACTTCGAATGTTTTAGTCAAAACTGTTTCGATCTAATACGACAAAGGATTCTGAAACAAGCTGCCAAAGTATAATACTTTCCTAATTTGAGGATTGCATTTACACCACCAGCCAAATCTCTAAAGATAAAGATCTTTAGACAACCATAAAATGCAGCTACACAAAAAAACACCAAAAAAAAAAAAGAAAAGGGAGTGAGGTGGGTGGGACATAAATGTTTTTCCAAACTAAAAATATGTTAAACTCCTGATATTTCTGTTACAATGCTTCATAAAGGCTGTTTGATATATAGGGGGAGGCAGAGCCTAGAAAACAATAAGCCTTTAGAATTACTTACAATTTGAATCCTTCTGTCATCATCTTTAATGATACTGAGTAATCTTTCCACAAGCAGAGATATAAGAGCTGTTGAAGTTGTAGGTAGAATGAGAATCTTTTGTAAAGTAACTAACAGATGCTTTCTGCATTAAAGAGGAAAAAAAAACACACACAAAAAAAAAGGAAGACATAAGAGTTAATATTTTACCCACTTTGAGTTAGTGTGATGAAGGCTTTAGAACACATAAGAGAAACTTCTCTATAGTTATATTAGCTGCTGAATATATTTTCTTACTTAGCAACGTTTGTCTTTTCCTGATTTTACCTATTTCTCTTGATTACAAAAAGCTGAATTTTTTAATCAGGTGTCACTACTGTCCAATGAAAGGTCATACCAGCAGAAAACAGTCAGGGTATCAATACTGTAGAATGCTTTCATAGAAATTATCTGGCTGGTAGCTAAAAACAAAATAAAATTATACATTAAACTATCTTGCCAGTCTGGCATACATATAATGCATTCCACAGAGTTTGAAATTGTTGCTGTGTTTGTACTATCATAACTGCAATTTTTCATAAAATGTCTGTGATGGTAGGAACTTCCAAATTTATTCACTCTTATTTCACATCAAAAGGTTGTCTAAATTATAGGAATGACTCAGTTAACACAGTCCAATTCAGCTTGGCATCTAAAACATCTGTAACCTTTCAGGCCTTAGCAGATGGGCTCAAAAAACTAAGAAACACACAGGCTACTTACTACAAGTCATCAGCTGAGAAGTTACCCTTTTTTTTTTAAATATACAATGTTCCAAATGAACAGTCTTGTACATTCATAATATCAAGAATACATTATGAAAACAACTGAATTTGTTCTCCCCAAACAATGTTCTATCAGCATTAAAACTCATTTTTCCATAAAAATAAGCAGATGATATTTGGCACACTTTGGGGAACAATTCCATTAGAGAAACTGCAACTTTTTTTCCAGCTAGCATTAGAACTATATTTTGTCCGTTCGATAGGTTATTTTCCCAACGCAGACTCCATGCCTGTCCACAGGCACAAGTGCCATAAGCTTAATAACACAGATTTTATATTTAAGTTTACCTTCCTCCCTCTTCCATGGTATCCATGCAGCCTATGATAAGAATCAGTTGCTGGCCTATAAATTCTTTTGTCATCAGGTTGTCAAAACAAGTGAAGTCTTCTCTTTGTTCTTCATTAAGAACTGGCATATTTTGAAGGTAACTGAATCCAAATAAAACAGATATAATGACATTCAGAATCAATGTTGGGAAAAAAAAAAACACAAAACCCAAACAACC